CCCCGAAGGGGGAGCGGAACATACTGTCTCCACGCATACATTTTTCCATCTACATTTGGTGGAGGGGAGTCACTTATATGTTAGTAGAAAAATGTATGCGTGGAGACAGTATGTTTCGCCCCCCCCCCCTTCGGGGGGGCTCCACTTCGTTAAAAATAACCCTATGTCAGAGGTGTAGAGTGAATCTCGTTTCACGTGAAAAGTTGCAAACCTATGTGGAACAGTACAATGGTGGAAGTACATGCGTGGGACAGTATGTTCCGCCCCCCCCCCCTTCGGGGGGGCTCCACTTCGTTAAGATACAGTACTGGAAAAAATTAAGGGAACAAAAAAATTTCCCAAATTTTTTAGTGATTTTTGACAAGCTGTATCTCAGTGAAAAATGGTCGTATGGAGGTTAAAAAAAAGAATTTTGAAGCTTTAAGTTTCTAGTTTTGGTATCTTTTGGCAAAACATTTTTGTGAGCTACAGTTATCGCGCAATCATAAGAAATAGCGCGAGGCAAAAATTTTGCAAATTTTTTTCTCTCTTTTTTTTGGTCCACGGACTTGGAAAAATTTTTCTTAGTTAAACCAATGCATTGGTCAGTAGCTTGTTTCTTCAGCTTTAATTTCCTTTTTTTGTTCTCTCTACGTCGATTTTTCGCTGAGATATCCAAATTTAAATGAAAAAGGATCCTTTTGTCTTTGATCATCGATATCTCAGCAACTAATAACCGTACAGTAAATTAAAGGATGGTTTTACAAACGTAAATAAATTCTCTACAAGGATCTACCATGATTTTTAGAGAAAAAAATTGTTTTTCATCCTCCACATTAATTTGAAAAAACTGAAAAAAACTGACTCTTTACGGTTTTTTTAGAAAATCCACGGCTTATTTACAACTTTTGATAAAACAACTAATGTTGAGCGTAATTTTTACTGCTCAAGGTACCCACAATAACTCTGTAAATTTACAAGTTGATCCATCGAACCGTTTTTCTGTTCCAAATGATCAAAGTTTTGAAAAGAATTAAAGGAACACGTTTATTGCTTCTGAACACTCCGTAATCATTATTAAAATGAAAAAAGAATTTTTTTTACTTTTCCCACAATTTTACATAAGATATCGTTTAAATTTCAGGGAAACAAATTTTTTTCAAAAAATTTTCAAAAAATTTTCAAAAAATTTTTCAAAAATTTTTAAATTTTTTTCTTTTGGAAAAGTTGCTGGACATTTGAGAGAACAATGTCTAGTCGTTTCCGACATGGTTTTAATCTTCATTATTAACCGCCGGCATTTGCGTTACCCAAAGTGTACCACGTGGAGGTAGCACGGTCGGATTTACGCTTCTTACACACACTCGTGTGTGTGCGTGTGCGTGTGCGTGTGCGTGTGCGTGTGCGTGTGCGTGTGCGTGTGTATGTGTGCGTGCGTGTGTGTGTGTGCCACAGCAGAGATCAGGACCCCGTGGTTCGTCACTGCCACATGCAGTATTTAACGACTCCAAACCCTCTCTGTCTGTGTGTGCGTGTACGTGTGTGTGTGTGGGTGTTTGTTTTTTGTCTGTCTGTCTGTCTGCCTGTCGTTCTCTAGGGCGTGGCCATTTGTTCAATACCGTGTATTGCCACCTCGACTCTCATACATACACGCGCACACGCTGGCACGCACGCACGCACACACACACACACACGCACACGCACACGCACACGCACACACGCACACGAGTGTGTGTAAGAGGCGTAAATCCGACCGTGCTACCTCCACGTGGTACGCTTTGGGTAACGCAAATGCCGGCGGTTAATAATGAAGATTAAAACCATGTTGGAAACGACTAGACATTGTTCTCTCAAATGTCCAGCAACTTTTCCAAAAGAAAAAAAATGAAAAATTTTTGAAAAATTTTTTGAAAATTTTTTTAGAAAATTTTTTGAAAAAAATTTGTTTCCCTGAAATTTAAACGATATCTTATGTAAAATTGTGGGAAAAGTAAAAAAAAATCTTTTTTTCATTTTGATAATGATTACGGAGTGTTCAGAAGCAATAAACGTGTTCCTTTAGTTCTTTTCAAAACTTTGATCATTTGGAACAGAAAAACGGTTCGACGGATCAACTTGTAAATTTACAGAGTTATTGTGGGTACCTTGAGCAGTAAAAATTACGCTCAACATTAGTTGTTTTATCAAAAGTTGTAAATAAGCCGTAGATTTTCTAAAAAACCGTAAAGAGTCAGTTTTTTTCAGTTTTGTCAAATTAATGTGGAGGATGAAAAACAATTTTTTTCTCTAAAAATCATGGTAGATCCTTGTAGAGAATTTATTTACGTTTTTAAAACCATCCTTTAATTTACTGTACGGTTATTAGTTGCTGAGATATCGATGATCAAAGACAAAAGGATCCTTTTTCTAAGATTAAGTGAAAGCTCGTCTTATTTATAAAAAAGAGTAAAGG